TGTAAAAATAATTGTAAGAATAAATTAGAATTTATAGATGAAGGGGATGATATTACCGTTAGAAAAAAAATTAAAAATAAAAAAAAAATTGAATTTTTTTATTTTTATTTTTTCAATTTTTTTTGTTTGCCTCCCCCCACCCCCCCCCCCTCCTTTTTTAATTTTTGTTTTATTTTTGTTTTATTTTTTTACGGGCGGCGGGTTAACCGCGGCCCGTGGGGGTACAACCCGCGAAACCCGCGGGTTACACCTCCTTGGCTCGTGAACCGCCCGCACGGGTCACGGGTCGGCCCACGGTCCCGATTTTCACGGGCCGATTTTCACGGGTCATGATCAGCCCGTCCGTCTTGACACCTCTAGGTAAATGTAAAGTGTAAACCCTTTCATTTTCCGTAAAACAATCATGGAAGACTGGAGGAGATACGTGGGCTGTATGCTGCCAGGCCCCCCAACTTTTTCATTTTTAAAATATTATGTCTGAAAAAGTCATTATAATATATAATAAAACAATGTTAATTCTAACAAGAGTTGGTAGGAGTTTCTTGCCAGAGTTCGAGTCACAGCTTTCACAACATTATCAGGCACCATACAAGTGCTGCGTTTATAGTGCATTTCATTTTTTTTTTTATTTTTTTGGTGAAAACCAACGAAATTCTACCATGTGTTATTTATGATAAAATTCTGTGAAAGTATTATTTATGTGTAGCATGGTTCTTATTATAAAATTTCACAATTAGTCCATAATTTTTAACACATTTGAAAAATTTGTCCCAACCCTTTAAAGTTGGACTTCCAGTCCTTAACATTTAGTTCCATTACATATTTCATCCTTTTTACATAAAATACCTTTATTGGTATCATTATGTACATTTAATCAAAAGTTAATCAAAATTCGATTATTTTACATTATTTTAACTATTTTTTAAAAATAAAATTGACGACAACATTATTTTCTTCAAGTGCCGCTCTCTTCTCCAAGTGTCGTAGGCCCCCTAGCAAAAGTCTTGGCTCCAATGGAAGTGCAGTTTTATCTCCCTCAAACTCCAAACAAAGGAAACGTAGAAAACAAATAGTGTCATCGGTTGAGGTTGCGTTTTATCCTTTCCACTTTTCCCCAAACACACAAAGGCCAAAAAAAAGACTTCAAACCAAATAATGTCATAAAATTAAGGAAAAGGCTTGCGGCCTAACAAAACCATTCTCTATACAGATTTAGAACCAATCATCAAGAGAATGCACAAAGTTTCAGTATACAAATTATCAAAAAGAGTAGTTCGTTCGATTACATACATAGAAATATTCACCAATATTACTAAAACTAGAACATTTTCAGTTTATGTTGCTTGCAGACTGTCAATGACCATAAATGAGCTTTCAGATGATTCTCCAGCAATCTTAACCATAAAAAAATAGCAAACATTTTCATAGGGCTGATGATTCACACTTTCTGTTTTTTTCCATCAGGAAGAAGCCAGCTATCTTAAAAAAGGTTTTGACGATGAAATCTTAGCCTAAGAATTAAGGGATCCATCATTCAAAGAAGTAGGCTACTCAAGATTTTCACCAGGGAAACAATTTATTTTTTCTCTAGTCTACTGGAACCTCGACTTCCATCTTCAAACCAGAGTTGCCAAGAATCTGCAAGTAATATGATAAATTTCGTGACAACTGTAATGCATAAAAAAACCGAAGACATACTGCAGCTCTTATAAATAAAACGATGCCACATATTTCCATTTTGAGATGGGAAAAGTTTGCAAGCAGGTTAGTGTTAACAGAAACACATTAACATTTTACGATCCAGAAAAAGAAATAAATAAAAAGTTGCAAAACTATAATGTACAGAAGTCAAGTGACAATATGCATTTGGACTGTCTTCTGCAGTTTACGGATAATCGTTTTCCCACATCTTATGAGGTCTATTTAGATGTAATTGCACCATTTCAGCAAACATAGGTGAACATGAAGGAATAATTTTCATGGAAAGAAGGGTAAACCCACTACTAAAGTTTTGATTACTGTACACTAATGATGATGGAAAAAGAGCGAGCTACGTTTTTAATGCAGAATATCTAATCACACACTCCGTGTGGCATAATCTATATATCATTTATAGATGGTCAAATTTCATTTTCAACCATACATTTGAATGGACCCATAAGTATTATCTACTTATCCACCACTCATCTCTATCCATTTATAAAATATTCCCAAACGGAGGAAAATCTTAGAGGGCAAAATTAAGACAAACTTGGTGAGTGGAGGCACACATATGCAACCAAAGTCGCAACGAACACCTGAATCCAAGCCAACACTTGATGACAGGTTGTGCATGGAACCGATGACACAGGTGAGGGGATGTAGGCATGAACAAAGCAAAGGACTAAATATGGGATACCAAAGGTGCAGGACAACTGGAAAAGAGTTGGGTGTGCAGCGCCAAAGCCTGTAGGGTAGGTGGAAGTCGCTGAAAGCTAATGCTGGTGGTCATGTAGGCTGGTTGGCAACTTGCAAAGTTGGTTGATTTCTTGAGGGGCTTCCAAAAGATTCAAGAACAGTGTGGAACCTTGTGGAATAGGTGAAGTCTTGAGAATTCCATGGAAGAATCTTGGAGGAACTACCTAAAAATTACAATAGGAGTGGGAAGAGTTCATGCATTCTCAAATCTCAAGCATTCAAATTAAGCATGTTGGGCTCGCAAGGTTGTTGACCCAACCTTTGTTCTTTAGTAACCCTGTAGAAAAGTCTAGAGACTAGATTTCCATAGTGAAATAAGAGGGATTACCACTCTCCACTCTAAAGAGTTGGAACTATAAAAGGTCAAGGGGCCCTCGTTTGTAATCAAGCTAGGAAAGATAGAAGTTGGCAAAACAACTAGAGAGATACCAAGCGAGAATAAACTTGCACGAGAGACAAGGACTCTAGTGCGCACAAGCTGCACTCAAACAATTTTAATAAAAGAGTTGTGTATTTCTCTGTTTCATACTGAGATAGATATCACAAGAGAGATTGAAACTATGTTTAGTTGAAATAAATATTTGTTACCTACTTGTACTTCTTGTGATTGTTAGGGACTAAAGTGCAATTTCCTTTTATATTTGTTACCTACTTGTACTTCTTGTGATTATTAGGGACTAAAGTGCAATTTCCTTTTTACCATGTATGTATACATTTCTTTGTACACTTTCCAAATAGAGAAATATACAAATTTTCCCCCAACTCGCTACATGGTATCAGAGCCACAGTAACCCTAGGTGCCGGCGACGTCCTTCCCGGCGACTGCGCTACCGTGTCTGCACAGTTCCGGCGACTCTTAGGCGCTCAGTTCTTCTTCGTTTCTGGAGCGTTGCAGGTTACCCAGCTGATTTCGAACCTGTTTCCCGTTACCCAGACGAAGACGAAGTCACGTCTGCATCTGATCAGCTCCGGCGCTGATGTCGCGACTGTACTGTCGCTGTTCCGGCGCCTTTTCTGTTTTTGCTGCCTTCCAGTTGCAGCTTCCGTTTTTCCCATTTTTCCCAGGTGTTTCTCGGCTACTTCAGTTTTTCCTCTTGTTTTTGCTTGACCTTTTTGCTTGACCAACTTCTATCAGTAGCTCCGGCCATTTCCGTTTTGCTTTTTTTAATGACATGTTCAGTTCTACATTGCATTAGTTTCTGGTGAAGAAATGACATTAGTGTTAGGGGCTACTGAGGTATTTTCATAGATTTGCAACTATGGCTGAAATTGGTTGTTGAAAATTAAATACGATATTGGTCGAGACATTGAAGATTGGGACACGGTGCACATATGGGTTCCAAAGTTGGGGTTTTTTGAAGTTTTTTTCTGTTGGTATTGTTCTTGCATCGATTTGGACCCACTGTTTAAGCTGGTTCTCGTTTATTCAGCCGTGCCTTTTTTGGGTTTCTTGAGGCTGTGTACGGGGTTAATTGGTTGAAGATTGAACTTGAATTGTTTGTATTTGGGGGTTTGCATTTGGTGTTTCCCGTGCTCTCAATTCTTCCACTATCTACTCTTGAAAGAATGACTTCTCACGTTGCTTGTTCATCTTCTAAGGAAGGTATCTTTGGGCTGCATTCTACTTCTACTGTATCTGATTGTTGGGTTATAGATTCTGGAGCTACCGATCATTTTACCTGTAATTCCTCCACATTTGATTCCTTGACAACTCCGCCTGTTCAGTCTGTTCAAGTGGCTAATGGGACCCCTGTTAAAGTTACCGGGGCCGGAAGCGTCTCGTTTTCACCTACTTTTTCTCTCTCATCCGTTTTACTTGCACCCATTTTTTCCACTAATCTCTTATCTATTAGTAAAATTACAAAGTATCTTGATTGCTCAGTCATCTTCTCACCTACTAATTGTGTATTTCAGGACAATCGAACGAAGATGACGATTGGCACTGGTAGAGAGAGAGGAGGGTTGTATTTTTTGGAGGGAACAAGGCGGTTGCAAATTGAGGATACCCATGGTCTCCAAGTTGTTAGTAAATCCTCTCCAAGAGATAGGATCCTTTTGTGGCATTGTCGGTTGGGTCACCCTTCATTTACTTACCTAGAACACTTGTTTCCAAATCTATTCAAAAATATTCCTAGTTCTAGTATGCGGTGTGAACAATGCATTTTTGCCAAAAATCATCGTGTACCTTTCAAAGTCAGTTTCCTTAAAAGTTCTGTTCCTTTTTCTTGTGTTCATACCGACGTTTGGGGGCCTTTCTCTACTCCATCTGCTACCGGTCATAAATATTTTGTCTCTTTCATTGATGATTGTACCAGAGTTTGTTGGATATATTTGTTAAAATCTAAGGACGAAGTCGTCCATGTTATTCCAAAATTCTTTACAATGATTGAGACACAATTTCATACGCGGGTTAAAGTTATTCATTCTGACAATGGTCGTGAGTTTGTAAATCAAACCCTTGAAAACTTCTTCTCGACTCACGGCATTCTCCATCAGACCACTTGTGCTTACACACCCCAACAAAATGGCATAGCAGAGCGAAAAAATCGACACATTCTTGAAGTAGCTCGAGTTTTATGTTTCACCATGCGTGTTCCAAAACGTTTTTGGGCCGAGGCGGTGACAACTGCCGTCTTTCTCATAAATCGCATGCCTGCTCGCATCATTAACTTTCAAACTCCTTTAAGAATGTTGTCTAAGTTTCATTCTATTCCCTTTGCTTTAAATATCTGTCCCAAAATTTTTGGTTGTGTGTGTTATGTTCACGTGCATTCTCATCTCAGAGATAAATTTGATCCTCGTGCCCTGAAATGTGTCTTCCTTGGCTACTCCAGCTCCCAGAAGGGCTACAAATGTTTTCATCCCCCTACGGGAAAATACTATGTTTCTATGGATGTAGAATTTTGCGAGTCAAAGTCCTTTTTTTCTGATGATGTTTCGTTGGTTCCTCTTCAGGGGGAGATTAGTAGTAAGGAAGAGGAACGAGTGTGGTTAGAGGAAAAGAAAGTGTGGATTTCTGGAGTTGAGGGGGAATCCCAAAATGAATCTGGAGTTGAGGGGGAATCCCAAGTTGAATCCCAAAATGAATCTCGAGTTGAGGGTGATAGATCACCTCGTTTGTTCCAAAAGTGTTATACAAGAAAAAACCTAGACAATGCTTGTAATCCTGTATTAGCCAATTCTGATCATGATAACCCTCTTGTTGATTCTACAGTGCCATCTGATTCTTCGGAGATTGAAAATGAGGTACCTCTTATCCCTTCTACTCCTATCTTTGTTTCTGATTTTAATCCTGCAGCTTTAGATATGGTTGATACTCGGGATAGGAGATATCCTCTTCGAGTCCATAATAAGCCTAATAGGTTTGGTTTTTCGAAATCTTCTTCCAATGCTATCTTTCCCATCTCTGATTATATTTCGTACCACCGTTTATCTAAGACTAATTTGGCGTTTGCCCTCCAATTATCTTCTGTATCTATCCCTAATCACTTTCAGGAAGCTCTTGATAAACCTAAGTGGAAATCCGCTATGGTAGAAGAAATGAATGCTCTCCAAAGGAACTCTACTTGGGAGATGGTCTTATTACCACCAGGGAAAAAGACTGTGGGATGCAAGTGGGTGTACTCATTGAAATATAAGTCAGATGGAACTGTGGATAGGTATAAAGCTAGATTAGTTGCCAAAGGGTACACACAGACTTATGGGATTGACTATCAGGAAACTTTTGCTCCAGTAGCTAAGATGAATACCGTTAGAGTCATCATATCTCTAGCAGTCAATCTCGATTGGCCATTAAGGCAATTTGATGTTAAAAATGCATTTCTTCACGGTGATCTGACAGAGGAAGTGTATATGGATCCTCCTCCCGGTTTCACTCCTCCAGGGGATAATGTGTGTAAGCTGAAGAAAGCCTTGTATGGGCTAAAACAATCTCCAAGGGCGTGGTTTGGAAGATTGAGTTGTTCAATGAAAGAGTATGGCTTTAAACAAGCCTTGACTGATTATACTCTATTTTATAAGAGAGATGGTCATGATATTACTATGCTCATTGTGTATGTGGATGATATGATTGTTACTGGCAGTAATCCTCGTGAGATTGAGAAGCTCCGAAGCCATTTGACAAAGGAGTTCGAAATGAAGGACTTGGGTACATTGAAGTATTTCTTGGGCATTGAGGTATCACGGTCCCAGCAAGGACTTATTCTATCTCAACGCAAGTACGTTCTTGACCTTCTAGCAGAAACTGGTATGTCGGCTTGTGTTCCTGCTGACACACCCATTGAGGTAAATCATGGTCTATCTATTTATCCTGATCAGATTCCCGCAAACAAAGAGAGATACCAAAGATTGGTGGGGAAGTTGATTTATCTAACTCACACGAGACCTGATTTGTCATATGCAGTTAGTGTTGTGAGTCAATTCATGCATAACCCCAGTGAGCAACATATGAGTGCAGTTAATCGGATATTGGCATATCTAAAGTCTTCTCCAGGCAAGGGCATTCTCTACTCAAAAGGGGGGCACTTGGATATTGTGGGTTACACGGATTCCGATTTTGCTGGATCGAGACTGGACAGAAAATCTACATCAGGATATGTATCTTTTGTTGGAGGTAATCTTGTGACTTGGAGGAGTAAGAAACAAAATGTGGTCTCACTATCCAGTGCTGAGGCGAAATATCGAGCATTACATCATGCAACTACCGAGCTTACATGGTTATAACTCCTCCTTAGTGAACTTGGATTTGGTCCGTACAAGCCTATGTTACTTTTCTTTGACAACACTGCTGCCATCAAAATTGCAAACAACCCTGTGCAACATGATAGAACAAAGCATGTTGAACTTGATAGGAACTACATCAAAGATAATCTTGACTCCAAAAATATAGAGGTTCCATACATCAAGAGGGCCGAGCAATTGGCTGATATAATGACACATGGAGTTGCTAGTTCTCCATTCTATGCAGTGATCTCCAAGTTGGGCATGTGTGATATCTTGTACCAACTTGAGGGGGAGAGTTGAAATAAATATTTGTTACCTACTTGTACTTCTTGTGATTGTTAGGGACTAAAGTGCAATTTCCTTTTTACCTTGTATGTATACATTTCTTTGTACACTTTCCAAATAGAGAAATATACAAATTTTCCCCCAACTCGCTACATGTTTCTTTAGCTAATAGTCAGATTTTAGCAGATTTTGATAAAAGGTTGATGAAATGCGTGTTTGAAAAGTCAATATAACTTGGGTCTCACGTAAGGTGTGGTTAATATTAATAGTTGAATTTGACAAACAAAATTTATCAACCTTTTTTTGCTAAATCAAATAGGGGCCGAAATGTTCCTAATTTAAAGTCTCAGTAGATAGTTTAACAAGATTAAACATCAAATATTAAAGTCTCACTAATAGTTTAAACACAAAGTGTATTACCTTCATGAAGTCTGCTTGAACTAACAAAGAATCGTTTGTGTAGCCTGCTTCCTCTAGAACTTGGGTAAGGACTTCCTGTTTTCAGAATTAAAAATGATGTCACCAATTTGCACCACATAACAATTGAAAATCAATTCAAACACACAAAAATGAAATGGAGAGCAAAAACTAGTGCAAACATATTGACAATTTTATCAATATAAAATTTCATATCAAGCATGCAAGTGCGTAGCTAGGTGGGGGTTAGTGGGGATAACTGCCCCACCAGACTTTTGAAGGTTACATCATCAATGGGGAAGAGGAATTACAATAAAGTAGATGGGAAGAATTGCAGACTTTGTTTCCTATAAGAAGAGGTGAAAAAGTGAAGAGCGTGTGGAAAATGGAAGATATTATGTAAGAAAATAGCTGAAAAAGTTTCGAAATTCCAAATGTGCATTTCCTTTGTTTTTGATCCTAACTTTTCTACTTCCAATCTTGTTACATTTGAAATTTTTAGTTTCCATTTTTTATTTGTAAAATTTTCTAGTCAACCAGTATCCCCTAAATTGTAAAATTTTCTAGTCAACCAGTATCCCCTAAATTTTTTGAACAGAATACCAATTGGATTAATATCAAATTTAAGATAAACCGGTGATAGAAAATTGGGATTACCCAATATTATGCCACAGTTCAATAAGTAGAGGAAGAGTTGATTTCAAGAGTCCAAAACATACATAGAAAATGAATAACTTCTAAAGTCCAACCCCCCTTAATGACCAACTTGAGGGTAAAACTCCTACAAAGATATTGATAATCGTTTCATATATGCATTTCTTTTAAAGTATAACTATCGTAATATGTTAAAAAAAAAATCATAAAATTTTAAAAATTCTAGTGTTGTTATCTCGTTTCAAAAATTTTACTCTTAATTAAGTCTTGCCGCCACTGGATATGTTTATAGCTCCAACCTTAAAGCAGCCAACAAAGAGGAGCATGACATTTCAGTTCTACTCAACAGTTTTATACAAAACTATGAGGGAAATAAGAATATCAGGCTAAGAAGCTCCAAATATGGAGGGGCACAAAATTAAATATTGACGACTTTCATATTCGATTAATCCACTTTATTTTTATGTAGCTAGTTATCAATTATTGACAACTTTCATATTCAATTAATCCACTATATTTAACTACAATATCTAACTTATTTTTTTCCTTTAGTTGATTTTGTATTTTGCCCACATTTTTATTTTTAGTAGCTTCCCCCTCCCCGTCTGCACGCTCGACCAAACTATGCCATCAAGTTAACTAAAATATTTTTTTAGGAAGTTGGAGCATCACAAAGTAAATACTCCATGTGAGCAGAGAATTAAGAGTTTGTAAAGAGTGAGATTTTTCCAAGTGAAAAATGACATTTATTATTATTATTATTATTATTATTATTATTATTATTATTATTTTGGAGAATGCGTGATTTAAAAAGTAAGGAACCCATAGAATGAGTGTTTGAAAATGATTTTGGGGAAAATATTTTCAAAGAAAAAATCTATCCAAAACATACCCTAAGCTTTTGTTTGGTCTCAATTATTTTCAAAATACATTTTTCTCTCTTATTTTCAACCATACATTTTTCAATAAAATAATATTACACACAAACCAAAACTTTTATTTATTCTTTAATCATACATTCTCCATCAAATTACTATTCCAAAATGCATTTTTGGCAAAAAAAAAAAAGAGGCTCAAACATTCTTTAAGTATTGAGATACAGAAGAATCTGAGAAAACTTCTATCAAATCAAACTTTTTGTGTAGTAACAAGATCATGTAAAAGATTCTTTTTAAATGTTGTCCTATCTCTTGAAACTTAAAGTTAGTTAGCCCTTGTTTGACGCTCATTTTTTTCTCATTCTATTTCTCATTTTTTTCTATTTCTTTATTCCAACCACACATTATATCAATAAAATAATATTACACAAAAACCCAAAAATTCTCCTTTTCAACCACACAATCTTCCATCAATCACTATTCTCAAAATTATTTTTCAAACAAAATGGGCGTCAAACAGGGGCTTAGTTTTCTCTTCTTTTCATGCACCTGTCAGTGTTTGACAAATACGTGATGCTTCTATCAATATATGAGAAAATCAGCAAAAGCCTTTATTCAAAAAACTTTGGCTTCTTTCATATGGTGCATCTCCTTTAGAATAACGTTGCAAGCCAAACAGAAATTGAGAAAAACAACAAGAACTTTGTAAAGAAAGTTAACAATGCGAGTGAAAATTAACCTCTCTTTGATGTTTAGAAATAAATTGACCAGTCAAGTCGCGCAAAATGTCCAGCATTTCATTGAAAGTAACCTTCCCATTACCATCAGAGTCATAAACCTTAAAAATGACTGGAAAAAATAAATAGAAAATGATGTATATGTGAGATTACTTACTAAATGGAGAAAACTGAAACTGTCAATAGCGAACAAAAAAAATAAGGAACAAGCCCATTATTTGGAAAGTCTTACATTCCACTTTCTGCTGCAAGCTTGCCCGAGAGCTAAAAGCAGATAAGAATGCCACAAACTCCTTGAAATTTAATCCATCCAGCATTCTCAACAATCTCTGATAAAAAAATGTAAACTTATCAAAGTATGAGACTTCGTGCATATGAAAGGTGATATGAAACCGAACAAACAAGTTATGATCGATGTTTAAGTTTTTACTTAATTTCTTCTTCTGATGAGTTATCCTCAATTACAAGACATATCATGTCATATGATCTTAGAATCATACAATAAAACCCATATGCACAAACCATAGACGAATACACAGTTATGCACAAAAAATCCTTGTCATGATTCTAGAATTTAAACCAAAGCGCTAATTTAAATCTCTCGTTTTAAATTTCTTCATGGTATCAAGAACGTCACATCTGCCGGTGTAAGGCCTTTCAACTTTCATTTGCTTCACAGCAAGCGCTCTTTTGCTACTTATCCGGCCATGATCCCTCAAAATTATCTATAACTAAAATATTCACTAAAATACTCCATTCTGATGCCCGTCCAAAATTTTTCTTTTTATCCTCTTCTCTAGTAATATTTTGCAATAGAAAAATTCAAAACATACTCCTGAATTCGAAACTAGCTGTCATCCATTAAAAACTAAAATTCCTAATACTAAACAAAATCCCCTACACGGTTAGTTACAAACGCTTATTGACAAGCATTTGCTGCAAGAGGTTATGTGAACCAAAACCACAATAATAGATAGGAATACATGCTAACCAATTACCAAAAAATATAAGTTTGCATCAAATTGGAACTAGTAACTAATCCCACTGTGGACAGTCTTTTGCTACTTGCCAGTCACAATCTCTCGAAATTATCTATAACTAGAACATTCAGTTCCCATTCTAATCCTAAATGTTTCATTTTACCTACTTCTCTTGTAATATTGCAATAAAACTCACCGGCTTAGGCTGTATAAGGAATTAATATAATGGTTAGTTTAGATAGATGATATTGTAGTTGACTAAGGTGGATAGTATTCTATAACTTTTCATTTATAAGATAATTATTTTACTATCAACCGTATAACACAATATAGAAATTGGAGTTAAATTTAGGAAGGGTAAGAAAGTATTATTAAATGACAATATTTTGAATGAAAAAGAATACTATTCACTTTAATCACCTGTACTCAATAATATGCTTTATAATTTTGTATTTGAACTCCTTGTACTGTCTAATCTGGTGCAACCTAAACATTCTCCTCTTTCTTGCAATGTAAAAATGGTTAGCCGCTTTTCTAGCATGACAAGAATATTAGTTTTCTAGACTTTCTTTTGTCATTGAGTCTCAAGTGATTAAAAAAAAAAGGTGGAGGAAATAAGAAGTTATATACGTTTTCCAGACACAAAGTAGGTTATACTTATATCTAACTTTTGCTTGTTGTCAACTTGATCCTTCCACAGGAAACTATGGTACAAATTCTATTTTCTGATTAAATCAAGCACTACTTGAAAGTAAGATAGTATTTATTGGAGATGTTGATTATTGAACAAGCATTAAAATTGTGTACAAATTCATTTGATTGTGTAAATTATTCAAGCATTTTTTATATGTTAAGGTTCTAGATCCAAGTATGCACCTTTGTACTGAAATTTATATCTCACCTAAGAAACACGAATTCGGATACATAATTCGAATACGAGGCTACATGGATAAGTCGAAACAACATTTTTTTATAAAAATTAGGATATGCAGATACATAGATAGATAGTTAGATAGATATAGGACCTATTTGGTGCAGATTATAAAACCAAGAATGCAATTTTTTTTTTTATGATGTGATGGGGAATATGTGGTTGAAAAAGAAGGAAAAGTTACTGATGTGATGAAAAATATTATTTTATTGAATAATGTGTGGTTGAAAATGAGTAGAAGAATGAGAATGAAAAAAATAATATGGATCAAACAGGGTGATAGAGAGAGATTTTTTCTTTTGACCATATTTGGATTGTTAATTCGATATATAAGGACCTCTACACGAGTCCTTCACGCATGCTACGAATGACCTATGAAGAAAAAGAATTCTAGAACAAAATGAAAGGTAGCTAACATAGAGAAGATCACCAAGATTTTGTGATTCATTGCCAAACTTATTTCAATTAACAACTCAAATCGAATCGGTATCAAGTGCCTAAAGAGCATATTTACTGAAACAAATATGATTACCTCAATAAGATATTCCCTTCTCTCCCTCTCTCTTTCTATATATTTATAATTCAACATAATTTCATTAATATAAAAAAAAAAAAAATTAAAACAGAAGCATGATAATAAAAATAAAATACCAAAATATTTTATCTTAATATTTAATTATTCCAACTTCATTTTCTTCAAGATCACGAGAGCTAATTTATTATTATTAAAATAGCATTTTCTGGCTCATCTGAAGATAGATTAGCAACATCAAGTAGCCCAACACCTTTAAGAGTATTGAATGAGTCTCCGACAATGTCCCACATCTTGAATTTTTTTTAATAAAGATTTAATACTATTACGTATTTTCAATAATAAAAAAATATTTGTTAACTATTAACACGGTTTTATATGTATTAAAAAAATTAGCCCTTGTTTGAATCTTATTATCTCCAAAATACATTTTTTCTCTCTTCTTTTTAACCTCATGATCTTCAACAAAGCCCCTATTTAGTACACATTCTTTCAAAATACATTTTTTCAAAACTCATTTTTAACCACACATTTTTCAATAAAATAATATTTTCCATCACATCAATAACTTTTCCTTATTTTTTAACCACATATTTCATATCATTTATGGGTTAAATTCACCAATGGTCATTCAACTTTATATTTAACTCATGTTTGGTAAACATTCTTTCAAAATTCATTTTTCATCACATCAATAATTTTTTCTTATTTTTTAACCACATATTTCATATCATATCACTATTCAAAAAACATTATTGACTCAATAATATCCATCAAACATACCCAAAATAATATTACACGCAAACTCAAAACTTTTTCTTATTTTTTAACAACACATTCTCTATTAACCTACTATTCCAAAATGTATTGTTAAAATAAAATGGGGTTCAAACAAGCTCTTAATACCATTGTGTATTTCCAATAAAAAACTCTAGTTGTCACGTAAATTAAAACTCCATTTCTATATTAGGTATTATCTATTTTCAATAAGTTATTGATAATAACAAAAGGTATTTATTAAGTAAATTTTTTTGTCAATATATAATCAATAGTAATGAGTTTCAAAAGATTTTAAAACCAATAAAACTGTACTTCATGCGTCCTAACATGTCCAATACATATTGAAAATTTAAAAAATATAAAATAATTTAAAAAATTATCCGATATGTATTAGAGAGTATCCAAGCTTGGATATGTATCGAATACGTGCAGGGGCGGAGCTACATGGAGTCCAGTGCAGGCCAATGCCCGCACTGGACTTTGGGCATGACACAGGGCGCTCCTGTGTCTGCACTGGCCCAAGAGGAGGAGAAAAGGGAAGAAATAAGGGAGAAAAAGTGTGCATGTAGGACCAAGAAGATGGAAGAAAGAAGAAGAG